ATAATTCTTTAGTATATTACTTGTGTGGTGTAGAAGATAATAGAAGTGAATCATTTATTGCTTGCAAACCAATGATGGTAAGATGATGTCATGGGGTAGGACTGGATAAGTCTGACTTCTTCCTACTCCATTCAAGCATGTACTAGGTATAAGCAAATTGATATTGGATTAGCATTTGTTGGATATGTGTAAAATTATGTGTGTTTACATATCAACTGTCTTTACATGCTTGAAAGAATAAATCAAATCAAAATCAAATGTTTTATTTTAAATGAAGAGATGAAACTGGAAGTAACCCATTAATAATGACCTCCCCTTGTGGATGTAGCTCTGGAGTTTGTCAAGTGATAGTATCTGAGGTTTGTGTTTGTTTCTTACTGTCGACAGTGCATGAGTGTAGTACTACAAAACTTTCAGTGCTCAGATATCACTGCATCATTAAATGCACAACCAAGGAGACTTTGTGGAGTCACAGGTAATGAAAACTGACTGAAAACCATTCCAGCAATCACATTTATGTGAATGAAGCCAGTCGACACCATTTGGTTCCCTCACTAATTTTTAGACAATTGGCTTCTCCTCCTAATTCTGCTGTTTGCAGAACAAACATTCCAAACGTGCATGAGCGGAAAGAGGTGTGTCAGCTTTCTCAGTAGAAGGTGTAAATCTCATAAACACCCTCTGGGGGCCTTTGTGTTTATTTTATGGAAATCAGCAATATGTGTACTTTGACATCAAAACTCCTCCAGACTGTTTCAGCAGGCAGGAATGAAGCAGAAATGTTTCAGTCAGCATGAAGCAAATGCAAAAAAAAAAAAAAAGCACACAATCAGTGGCACAGTTAAATGTGTTTGCTCTGAACCTACCTAGCATGGCCATGATTTTACCTTTTATGTTGAATTAATGAGTTTAGTTTGGGAGTAACTGGAGCTTTGTGTAACGTCAGTGCTTTGTGTCACATCGGCAGTAACCAGGGCGTTCTACAGGACTGACATCTTTACTGTTAGCCAGCTAATGCTAGCTTCTGAATGGAGGCTGCAGTTTGTACAGTTTGTCCCAACCAGGCACCTGTTTGATGTTTATCTGTATGCAAACATGGAGCCTGAACCACACACTGCAGCATTTACAGCCTGAGCTTGTTCACAGTGACCAATGCAATCAAAACAGCACACAACACAAATATTGAACTTCTTTGTTCAGATTCCCTTCAGATTCAGAGTTCAGCAACTATAACAAAGCTAATTTTGTTTTTTCAGGAGGTTCGTCTGATCGACTATGAGAAGATGGTAGATCCTAACGGCTTCCGAATCGTAGCGTTTGGTCAGTGGGCTGGAGTCGCAGGTAGGATAAAAAAAAACAATCTCAGAAATAAGAGAGAGGTTTTGCAGTGTGCAGCTGCTCACTCATGTTGTGAAAGTGTGTCCACAGCAGCCGTTGTGAAACTAATGTAACGGTAAAGATTAGCGCCTGCCCAGAGATGATTCAACCAGCAGAGACATGTTCAGTGTTTAAACATTTCTGTTTGACGTGTGAATCTGTCGGACCTGTGTCACATGTCACTGGTTCATTCTGGTACAGTGAAAAGCTGCACAGTCACTTTTGGATCAGTGCTTTGGGACTTTTATTCTTATCAAAGCTGAAAGGTCACCTGACTTCATGTCTTCCTGCTGCCAGTTCAAAAGCTCCAGATTTATCTGCAGATTAACGATAAGCAGAGGCCGCACAGCAGCGCCGGTCACCCTGACCTGGACAGTCCAGTTGTTCACATGTTTTTTGACATTTCATTAATATTTTTTCTGAGATTTTAAACATTTATTTATTGTATTTTATTATACTTTAAATAGTACTTCTTTTTTTTTACATTTGTCAGACATTTTATGAATGTACATATTTTTGTATGTATAAATATTTTGAGTACATTTTAGTAATATTTTTATGAGATTTGTTACATTATTTTATAAATTTTTGCTATTTCATGTTTCTAAGATGTTTTCAGAGATTTTCTTTAATTTAACTTGTTAAAAATAAATCAGATATCAGGTTTTGAGCACATTTACTCACTTTTTTGGATATTTTATTAATATTTTTATTTAATATTTAAACCATCTACTCTGCCTGCCTAATTTGCATATCCATCTGGTTACAAAATGCTGATAAGAAAACTCACTAATAATAGTTATAATAAGAGACCAGATCCAGATCACAGTTTGACACCAGGTAGAGATGATGTCTTCATGCAGCTCTGTTATACCAGTTTAATGAGATGAGACAGGTTGGTTAAAACTCTCCACCCATTAAACCAGACACATGACTTACAGAAGGGGTTAACGGGTTTTGATTTAGAGTCCGGCTTCGCCTGCTGATAGTAAGATAACACTAGCCACACATTCACACCACATCTTGCAGTGATACAGTATTCCCCGGACACACAAGCTTAATTTAGTTTGATCGGCTTCTCACTGGTTGTGAAACAAACGAGATGTATGTTGGTTAAACGGAATGGTCACAGTCTTTGTTTAGTTATTGTCACAAAATGTGACCTTTATATTTCAGGAATACTTTGATAAATGAGGCACAAAGAAGAAGAAAAAGCACATTTTTGTGACATATTTAGTGAATTGTTCATGATGTAATAGTATTCACTCAGAATGAATTTTCCTGTTCATTGTTTTTTGTAGGAATGATCAACATTTTGCATGGACTGGGGCTGCGCTTCCTGGCTCTCGGTCACCACACTCCCTTCATGGTAAGAGAAGTCACTCTCCATAAATTGATCCCCAAAGACACAAGTGTCCTCAAAGTCTGATGCAGAATTGAATAGATCATTTAAAGTCACAGCACATTGTTTCTGTGGAGGAACAGCGATTTAGTTTGGGCCTTAAATCTGACATGAAAACAGCGACTTCCTCCCCATGTTGTTCTTTTCTGGTCACTTCCTGTCTCCCTGCTGTTCATAGCACATTGGCATGGCTCATAACTACAGGAACGTCCACCAGGCCATCCAGGCAGTGAGGGATTGTGGGTATGAGATTTCCATGGGGCTCATGCCCAAATCCATCGGGCCTGTGACATTTTGTTTTACCGGAACTGGCAATGTCTCCAAGGTAGGACACAGTTAAAAGAAAATAAAAATCCTACAATCGGACAGTCTGGCTTGAGAGCAAGCACATCAGGATTCCAGTGAGGTTTACTGGGAAATGTAGTTCTTTAAGTGATCCCACCCCTTCTCTGCAGGGAGCCCAAGACATCATCAATGAGCTTCCTGTTGAATACGTTGAACCTCATGAGTTGAAGGATGTCTCTGAAGTGGGAGGTACGTTTGTGTGATGGCTAATCATAGGAGGAGGCCGGGCACACGTTTGTGCTTGTAGTAAAAAAGTGCATTCGCTACGATTTTCCACTTTGTCTGAGAGAAGGCAAACAAATGGCATGAAATCTTAGACCTAGGAGTGTAAAGTTCAGGTCAGTTCAACTTCACCGATCAGTTTGTGTGAACAGCAAACAAGGAATGTGGAATTGGTGTCAAAACAACACAAACCTGGTTGAATGAGTTAAAGGATATTTCCTAGCCATACTGTACAATATCGATCTAAATGGTAGATAGACTGATCAATTGATAGGTACCCACTTATGTGTCAGATTATATATATGAATGTGACATGGGACTGTTTGGAAAACAATGAAAAATGTATTTTTTGTCCACAAGGTAGGAGAGCAAATAAAAATAACATCACAGGTCAGTAAAATATGAAGTTTCTAAAAAAAATAGCTTCATGCCATTTACATAAGTGGGGTTAGTTACTAACAGCCTAACTAACCCTGCAGCCTAGCTAGCACTTTCTGTGAGCCCATCAAATATTTCAAAATGGTGCAACATTGTGGGCAACAAGATGGTGGTTACAGTAACATAAGTTTGGATTTTGTGGTTTACACATACACACCTCACTAAGCCAAAAATACTTGTGCTGGAAAAAAAATTACTTTGGCACCCTGAAAACTTGGGCACATATTTCCTAATTACAGAGATGGATCTTTCTGAATTCTTGCTGGAGACCATGGCTAGCAACTATGGCAGTATGACTGGAAGCACACGCTGCTTGACCTTGTGTAACCCACATGCAAAGTCTGTTACATTTTGCCCCGTGTTAGTTGCTATTTTAGCAAGGTAATGATGACTGTCTCTATATATTTATCTGAATACACCTGGAATATATAGCTAATATGTACACAGTACTGAAAAATGTCAGAAAAAAAATCACCAAGCAAACTGGATACTCCAGATGCAGTGTTCAAGCTGTTCTAAAGAAACATGTTCTGGAGAGATCGAGGAAAAAAATCAGGCGTGGAGAACAAGAAAATTGTTGAAATCTGATGAGACGTTTCTCAAAGTTTCTTCTTTGAGAGAGCGGAGGAAACCCAGCAGGGACCTCAGCATCTGGCAGCTTCATCTGGATGCCAGGTCGGTCCTTCTACAGTCCAAAGTCTGATCAGGAATGGCCTTTGTGGAGGAACAGCAGCCAAGAAACCACTTTTTCAGAAGGGGACTGAGAGGAAAGGCTGAGATATGTCAACGCTTACAGAGACTGGAGTGAAGATCAGTGCAAAAGAGGAATGCGGAGTGAAATGTTCAGGTCCAGTCGTCAACGGCATGTGAGAAGGAGAGGTGGAAGAACGAGTGTAGCAGCCTTCTTAGGGGGGTAGACAGTCTGCCCAGAGGAATTCAAGCTGTGAAGAAATATAAGTTATCATTACAACCTTCCTAAACCAGCAGAACTAATGGTGGCCCTAAGACTCGTGCACAGTATTACAGTATTGCATGTTATCCATGTCATGTTAGCTAGTGTAAACAGCAGACAGGGAGCAGTGGTGGCTTTATATAAAGGTGAGGTAGAAGATGATTTCACTTGCTCTCTCTCAACATAGGATCAAAGTCTGTTTTTATAACTGCATACTGGTCATTTTCAGTATGTTGTTGATTTCCTGACAGAAATGACCAAAGTGTACGCCACCGTTCTGAGCCGACACCACCACCTGGTGAGGAAGAGCGATGGCATTTACGACCCCATAGAGTATGAGAACCACCCGGAGCTGTACACCTCCCACTTCAGGACCAGCGTGAGTCTGGCCCCCCCCCCCCCCCCACCCCACCACCAAAACCCACCTCCCACTTGCTCCTGTCGGTCTCTCTGAGGTCTTGTTCTCTGTTTCAGCAGCAGTACTAAACTCGTGGTGGTTGGCAGGGTGATGGTGTTTCAAAACACATAGCAGCTTGTAAACAAGTGTGAACCTGTTCAACGTGCTTGTGCTTTGATCACAGTCTGGCTCAGATGACCAGTGCATCTATGTGAGTCACTCACATACATGTAAAATGTGTATAGAGACACAGGCTTTTTGGCTGTTTTTTTTTATCACAAACAATTATTTAAGTAGTTGATTAACCCATGGGTTGTTTATTTTTATGTTAAATCATTTGGTGTCGCCTTCCATGAGCTCAAGGTGACGTCCTCACCAATGGTTCACCACACTGACAGTCACTTGTTGATACATATACAGTGAGGAAAGGAAAGCAGTCAGACTGGAGTTGGCAATAGACAGTGTCAACAATATGCACTAGATTTAAGGCTGTTTCTGGATGCTGTGCTGTTCTAGGTGTATTGGTTAAATCTGACTGACGAGTACTGTTGCATGTCATTTCCCTGTGTGCCTCTTCTCTGTTGCCTGCTCTCCACTAAAGGTATAATTGTCTAAAAAGCTTAAAAATACAATGATTTATGGCACTTTGTCAAAACAGGCCACTCCCTTGAAAATTTGGCTGCTGGGTACTGGATGTTTTCACCTACAATTAAAAATCAAAACTCCACTTGGGATTCTCTGAATATGAACAGGAACTGGTGGTAAAAATAAACCCCGCCTCGTGGCGTGGGGTTAAAGTGTGCATTGCTCTGCACCAGTACCTCGGTCCATTGTTTGTCTTTTACCAAAACTCTCTGAAACCTTTTAAGTGTTTGACTTAAACTGCAGCCAAACATACTGGTCTTCACTGGGCCTGATCTGATATGAGCCTGTTAAAACCGCACCTGAACCCAAAATAAATTTATTTTATTGAAGGAATTTGTATGCCTTCACTGTACAGTGGCTGCAGAGAGGTGGACAGGAAACTGGAGGCAGGACTATGGTAGATTGAGTATATAGTGCTTTTCTATTCATTGAAGCCCACTCAGAGTGCTTTTGTACTATTTACATGTTCACGCCCACAAGCACACACGCCCACCAGGAGCAACTTGGGTTCACTGTCTTGGTGAAGGACACTGTGACATATGGACTGGAGAACCCTCTGGTTAGGAGACGATATGCTCTGCATCCTGATCCAAAGCTGCCCCCTAAGTAAATAAAGTTCACGGAGACCTGCAACAAATGTCAGTGGTCAAACCGCTGATGTCGCGCATGCATATGTTTGTTCTGCTCTACCGAAACCACCTGGTTAATGGGGATCCCCAGTGTTAAATTAAATAGAGGGACCTGATCTAAAAGAGGCCAGTCCTGGTCTGAAATAAAACCCAGGATAACCAGACTGAAGCGCAGGTCACTGAGTATCATTTGGACCTGGGCCTGGGTTAGGTTGGGTTACTAGGAACTGACAGGACTGAGACTTCTGCTTCTAAGGGCCACATTTTTGGAGTCACCACCCAACTGTCAAGAGCACTAAGCCAATTCCTCAGCCAACAGTTTACCTTTCCTCCAGATTTCACTGAAATCTGTCATGTTTTTAAGATTTCCTGCAAACAAACAGGGAAACCACCACTGTGGAGCTTAGTGCAGTAACAGAAACACCAGTGTGTAATAATTAGTTTTTAATATGAACTTGTGAGAAACAGTTTTTGATCTCTTGTTGCAGACTGTCAGCTTCTCCAACTGTAGAACAGTATTGCGCATCACACTCTTGTGTCCTTTAAACCACAGGTGGCGCCCTATACAACCTGCCTGATCAATGGTATTTACTGGGAACCCTACACCCCCAGACTACTCCGACGACAGGATGCCCAGAATCTGATGAGACCGTCCAAAACCTTGGCTCCAGTCAACCAGGGCTCACCAGAGCTGCCGCACAAGTAAGTGTTGATTTTGTATGAGTTCAGAGTGAGCAGAGGGCACGTACAGATCTGGAAAGATAAAAAACCTGCAACAGCCCGGAGCAGTGCAAATATTAAGACTGCTCTGGTGTAATCCTGCCCACAGAGCATTATAGCCTCATAGGGAGCAGTGCAAGAAGGATTCAGATTCAGAACTGCACTTTAGTACTTGAGTAAGTGCACTTAGTTACTTTCCACCACTGCTCACAGGGAAACATATTTCTGTTTTCATCAGTAGAAGATGAGCGCATCTGCCTCCCACCATGACTTTGTCCTCTGTTTGGCCTTTCAGTGAAACACAGTACCTGTGAGTGGATGAATGTGCAGTGCAGTAGCTGCAGTATCTCCACAGAGGTCAATTGTCATGTGTTTATCTTCAGTCCTGTTGACACAGTGTCCTTTTGACCTGCTCTCCTTCTCTGCAGACTGCTAGCCATCTGTGACATCTCCGCTGACACTGGCGGCTCCATAGAGTTCATGAACGAGTGCACCAGCATCGATAAACCGTTCTGCATGTACGACGCTGACCAGTACATAAATCACGACAGGTACAGTGCAACACAAGCCATGACCAGTGACTGTAAGCTGTAAATGCATTAATGTGTTCCTCTAACTGGGCTTCACTGGATTTCACTGTGTCGCCACCGATACAGGGAACCACACACACCCACCAGCGTAGGCCAACAAAGGGCCAGTGTCTGTGTAAATGCAGCCTGATGCCATGTCTACACTGTGCCTGTTTTTAGGACTAAATAATAGGGTAATCAATGAACAAATTAGTGAATAAATAAACAGCAAAATATTTTTTTCTATTTCATTTTTCTTTTAGTTATATTAGATGTGTTGTGTGTTATTTTGTAGGTTGTGATATAATCATAATTTTGAAAAAATTGTCCCACTTTTGTATGTGCCTGATTTATAAAAAAAAAAATTTCCCTATATTCACACGTATCTATTTTATTAGGTACACCTAGCTTAAACGACAGTGGCAATATAAATACTACGAACTGTTCTGCATTATACAGACCAGTGTTTCTGTTATCAAGCCTACCCCCACTCAGAAAACGACTCTATAACACAGTACAGTTCAACAGGAGCACAGACGGCAGCCTCCACAATAATCATACTGAAACAGCCTGAACACAGACCGAACATTATCAGGAGAGGGAGGATTTATTGGTGGACTGTTGGATTAGTTTTAACTAGGTGTAGCTAATAAACTGGCTTTGAATGTAGTCTGAGTTTGGTAATTAATATGGATTCGAGGAAGACCAGTTTTGTTTGCATCTCTAGCATGAACAGGGTTGTGTTTGTGGTCTTAGCAGTGTGGAGGGAAACGGGATCCTCATGTGCTCCATCGACAACCTCCCTGCTCAGCTCCCCATCGAGGCCACTGAGTACTTCGGAGACAGGCTCTTCCCCTACATCTGGGAGATGGTAAGACACCTGGGCTGCAGCTCAGGTGCTGCTTTCTGCTTCCCTTCTGACTCCTGGCTCAGTTTGTTGTGCCAGAGCGCTGCAGCGGGTTTCACATAGTGAAGTGATTAAAAAAAAAAACACCCCAAACTGGCAGGATTTGTTTTTGTCAGTTTCTATTGGTTTAGTAAATTTAGTGTCATTTTCAGCTGCCTTCAGATGCCACCAGACCGCTGGAGGAAGAGGACTTCAGCCCACAAGTCAGAGACGTAAGGACAACATTAATGTGACTAGTTTAATTATTGTTAATGTGGATTGATTTAGCAGCTGCCACTAAAACTGTAGCATTTCTGCTTTTGCCCAACAACAGTTGGTCACAGATTTCACCTGAATCAAATAATGACATCTAAACTTAATAGGATTTAAAAAGGGATTCAGAAAGATTTGACTTTGACAGGTGGATCAGATATTAGATCCAGATTTGATCAAATGTTAGCAGACTCCAGCCGGAAACATTCAGTTTTTGCAGTATTAAACATAACCAGCAAATGTGCCGCTGTATTTAGAAACAAGCATAGCTTTCATTACATATCATCTTTGTTTTTCAGTCTTGTGCAAATAATGAATATATTTGTAAGAGCTGAAGTTGCAGTTTTTAATTTCTTTGTTCCTAAAGGCTGTCATCACCTCAAATGGAGCACTCACCCCGAAGTTTGAATACATAGCAAAACTTCGCGAAAGAAGGTAATACTGGAATCAAACCGGAGCTGGGAGCATATGGTCTGTGGAGTGTTGTACAGTATCTGGTGCTCACTGCCAGCCACAGTCTGTGTAACATGTTCACTATATGTGTGTGTGTATTTGGGGATAATTCCATGTTTCAGCATATTTCTCATTTGAAATATTCATAAAATGTCAAACAGTGAATTACGAGTTAATGCAGCTGAGTCCATGGATGATGTCTAAAGATTGAGACAGGTACCTCACTTTCTAATGTAGCTCACCTTACTAACTTTCTAACCTCGTGTGTTAATCACACATAATAGTGGCTTAGTAATATTCGTGCCTTGTAGTGTCTTGTTTCTGCTGTTTACCCTGCTTAACTCCCAAATGGTGATCAAATAAGCACAGCTGCTTATTAGCAGAGAAATGGGGAGATTTGTGTCTCTGAATTGGTGATGACCAGGTCAGACTGAGTTCACTAGGTGTGGTAAACCTACCAAAGAAACAGTCCACTCATGCGAAGACTATGAGGAGTGATAATTACAGCAGTAAAATCAAATCAAATCAAATCAAATTTTATTTGTATAGCGCCAAATCACAACAAAAGTCATCTCAGGACACTTTACAAAGTAAGGTCTAGACCTTACTGTTATCAATATTATTACATAGGGAAAACCCAACAAATCCCCCTTGAGCAAGCACTGGGCGACAGTGGGGAGGAAAAACTCCCTTTAACGGAAGAAACCTCCGACAGACCCCGGCTCTTGGTGGGCGGCCTTCTGCCTCGACCGGTTGGGGTGAGTGGATAGAGGAGAGACAAAAGAAGAAAAGCAACAAGACACAACAATCAAACACTGATCAGGTCGATGTGGCCGGTGACTGCTCGTCAGAGATATAGAGCTCCAGGGCAACCTGCAGAAAGTTACAGGGAGAGAGAGAGAGGACACACTACGGGAGAGAGGAGACACAAAGTTAGTAATGTGTAATGGTGGCATATAGAAGCATAGGGAGAGAGAGGAGAGGAGAGGATAGGGGAGGGGAAGGGAGGGGAGAGAAACTCAGAGCATCATGGGGCCCCCCAGCAGCCTAGGCCTATAGCAGCATAACTAAGGGAAGGCTCAGGGTCACCTGATCCAGCCCTAACTATAAGCTT